CAATATGCTTCTCGTTGAAAAATAAAAATATTGTAGTTGTTGGAGTGTCGTTTTAGTAGATGCCGGCCATATGCATCTATCCATCTAACAAATACAAAATTTGAGAATTTTTTTTTATTAATCACTTGTCAAAATCTTGAATAATGGGTAACTAAAGTATTCACATTATGAAAAATAAACACTTACTCCATATTATAGACATACTTGAAATTGTTTACTGAAATTGGTGTAAATCCAAGACATTCTAATTGGTAGCACATTAATTATATTCTTGCATCTACATCGAAATCCTTCATAACTTTCAAAAGACATACTATTTGAAATTTGATACATTATCTTCTAATCAATTAAGGTTTGAATATATATATATAGTACTATCGACTCTATTACAAGATAGTATCTCTATTGGTTGTAGCCCAAAAATCTCTATCTGTTGTAGTCCAAAGAGTGAATACTTCACCACCAGAATTCGATCTTGTGACATTCACTTAAGAAGAGCTACAAAGGTGTCAACTGAGCACAATGTGTTTGACAAGATTTGAACATATACTTGATTGAAACTTGCATGGAAGATGGGTCGAATTTTAATTTTTGGAAAGAAATACTAAACTACATCCCAACTCAAACAATAGATAATCTTCATTCTTGATCTCTGCTGGTTCTCTCCACTCATTCTTCATGTGTTCATGTTTTGCTGTTCCTAACTTCTTACACACTGCATCCTGCATCTATTGTAAGTGATAGAAAAGAACAGCATAATACAAACACTTAGGGCACTAATCAATTAACAAATTAAGTCTACATGAATATAATATTAAGTGAAAGAAAGAAAATGAGCATTTTAGTTTCAAGCAGTTAACTGATAGGATTACAAAAATAGCATCTGAAAATTGATAGCATTGTTTAAAGTGCTACCAATTGAATAGTCCAAAAGACCATAAAAAAAACTAAGATAGTAAACTTTGTCAATCACACACAAACCAAGCTCAATTTTTTTCTACTTTCACATGGGCATTTTTAGATTTCTTAAGATTCTTTGATGAAGAGAACTGGTCCAGCATGCATCTTTTCACATTTTCAGACTCTTCAGTTAACTTAATCTTGTTAGTTGCTGTGACTGGACTATCTACCCCATCACCTTGGGAGCCTTCCTGAAACCATAGGTATTTAGAGCAGTCAACTTTCATATACTGTTTTAAAAGATGTTTTCTATATGCTACAATTAAAGTAGCACATCCAAGTTTAGTTACCTCTGCAGAATCTTCAGTTCCTTCATCATCTTCTTCAATCATCCTAGATATAAGATCCTTGTCTTGGTTATCATTGAGGTTTGAACAGTAGGCAGATATCACTAGTACAGAAACAGTCATTCGCGTCCAAAGTTAAGGCTAATTCGCGTCCAAAGTAGCTAGGACGCAGATGGCGGGGACGCTGATTGTATAAACAATCAGCGTCCAAAGTAGCTTTGGACGCGCAAAATGATAATTCACGTCCAAAGTTCGTGAACTTTGGACGCGTATAGTGTTTATTTATTTTTAAAAAAATACTATACGCGTCCAAAGTTTCTAAACTTTGGACGCGTATAGTGAAAAGAAATTAAAAAAAAAAACATTTTTTTTATAAAACTACCAATATTTTCCTGTACATCCCAATAATATTTTTTTTTGAAAGCTACTGGCTCTATTACATTGTAGTATCTGTTCATATACTCTCTCAACCTACTGAAACACAAAGAACCAATAACGCCTCCACTGAGGCTTGAACTCATAATCTTCCAAATGAAAGTCCAACCCGACTACCAAATAATATATTTCAACATTAATCAATTTAAGATGTATACTACACACCAATTCTATCAACTACTTCTCAACATATATCTACACTATGCAAGGAGTATACAATTTCATCTTTCATTATAACATAAACAAAAAGAAAAATATTTAAGAAAAAAATTAACAGCTTGAACTCTTCTCTATCTTTTCCAATGCTACAACCAATACTGGTGAAAACAAAACCAAAATTTACCTAATGTTAAAAATTAATCTCTATCTTTTCCAATGCTACAACCATTTAAGAAAATTTCACACTAGTAATAGTGTAAGGACCCAATGCCAAGCAATTTCATTGAAAAGAAATTAATATGAAAAAATAAAATAAACAAAATGTAGAAAGTACAACTCACTAGGCAAGTCAATACTAAAGTATCATAATTACTATGGACAAATGTGTGTTTTTTTCTTTTTGGGTAATCTCTATGGCTTCCTTTACCTCTTATCCCACCATTACTATGGACAAATTGGTTGGGAGTGAAAACTACACTTCGTGGGCCGCTTCTGTGACACTCTGGTTCAAAGGCCAGGGGATGTCTGATCATCTAACCAAAAAGGTTGGGGAAATTGAAGAGTCGAAGAAATCAGATTGGGAGAAGTCAGACGCGTTATTGTGCAATATGTTGTGGCAATCCATTGACCCTAAATTATATCTTATTTACAAGTCTTATGACACTTGTTATGATGTGTGGAATAAAGCTAAGTCATTGTATACTAATGATATCCAAAGGCTATATTCCCTTGTATCTAATATGCTTAATTTCCGTTCCACTGCTGATATGAGTACACAGGATTTCTTGGGTCGGATGGAAGCTTTACAGCAGGAGTATCATAATTTACTTCCATATCAGGAGACGTCAGAAAGTCATATGAAGCAGTATGATAAGTTCTTTATGGTGATGACCTTGGCTACCCTTCGGCCTGACCAGGTTCACATTCGTGATTAGATTTTATCCAGTCCTAGTGTGCCTGCCTACACTGACGCTGCTGCCAGACTGCTTCGTATTGCCTCAACTCCCTCAGTTGAACCTATTGAAGAGTCATCAGTTCTAGCTACTCGGGCTGTGGATAGAGGACCTTCTGGACCATCTAGTGGTGGTGGTGGTCGTCGTGGCAAACGTCCTCGGTGTGAATACTGCCACAAAGATGGTCATACCAAAGATCGTTGTTGGAAGTTACCTGAGGTTAGGTGAGGGCGTCTGCCGGAGAGTGTGAGGGAGAGAGGGAGAGGAGCGAGAGAAGCAGAAGCCGAGAGGCAAGAATGGAGAAGTGGATGTGAGGACTGAGGAGCGACTGGCGAGGGCAGAGCCGGACCGCCAGAGGGCGTGACTCGTGAGAGTAATAGTGTCTTTCATACCATAAGGCTAACATTAAGGAAAGGAGAGAAAAGATTGAGCACAATGCATCCCTAACTATACTAAGTTTTAGAATCCAATAATAAATTACATTCTTTTGTTTCAAGATAACAATTTAAAATCTTTTTGCATCTTTTTATACATTCTTTTTTCTTGTGCTTTAAACAGCATAAATGGTATCATTGGATAGATGCAGAAGACTTTGTCATATTTTCCCCAGCAACTTCTAAAGCACCATATGTTTGTGTTTGATGAGATCTGAAGAACAAACCACCACTTGATCCCAATGACTAACCAAAATACAGAGATTATTCATTCATGAATGGCTACCAAGGAGAATATACACATTGCAAAAAGATCATGGAGGAAGAAAATTTGCTACTCTATGCCATTCAATTGAAATGATGCCATTAATTCACTTAAAGGTGTTGCCTGATAATCGTATATGTCTTGTACATCACCATAGTACAGAAGATCAAATCATTACACATAATGAATGCTACCACCACAAGAACAAAAAAAACATACTGTAATATAAGAAAAATGGAGTAATACCTTCTAATTCTTATGGCCTCTTCCAAACCCGATATTCTTTTCGCAGATATCACAAACCTTTTATGAAAGTTCAAATTTTTATCTAAAATCATAAGCACAACAAAAGGATATTATCATCAAGCTCAGAACATCGAGAACTACCAAAATTCACAGCTCATTAGTGTACTAATTCAAGATTGGGTAACTCGAAATGAACAAATCCCAAAGACCAAAGCTTAAAATAGCACACACACATGTATATATTTATGTATAAGGAATAAACACAAGGGAATGCCGGAAGAGTAACGTACCAGAGGGAGAAAGGTGGAGGGAAGTGAGGTGGCTGCCGGAGAGCGAAGAAGATGACGACAGGAGCTTGGGCGGCAGCGGCAGCGAGCGGATGAAGATCGGAGCGATGGAGAGCGGCAGTGCGGTGGACGATGAAGCAGCGACAGTGTGGATGGAGATCGAGCGGCGGACGGCTGATGGACGGCGGGGACAACTGTTGGAGAGCGGCGGACGACGGATTGATCGGAGAGGATGAAGATCGGGGCGGGAGCGGATGAAGGGTTTACGCGTGAGATCTGATCTATGCGATTCTATTATTCTAGGGTTTTATGGATTAAAAAAATAATTCGCGTCCAAAGTTAGTCACTTTGGACGCGAATGATAAATGAGATTCTATTATTCGCGTTCAAAGTGGGCACTTTGGACGCGAGTGATGAATGGGATTCTATCATTCGCGTCCAAAGTATAGAGCTTTGGACGCGAATAATATTTAATAAAAAATAAAAATAAAAATTTATTTATATAGTGGTATCTTAATTATAAAAATGCCACCGCACTACACTTTAGGCGTCTAAAGTTCTAACTTTGGACGCGAATTAATCAATTTTATTGATGTTTTTTGTACTAGTGTATCAAGGTTTCATCCCTTACCGATTTAAAGATTTAAACAGATTAGTAACAGAAAACAGGTTAGTACACATCGGATCAATTCTAGTAACTAAAATAAATAAGTAAACATATTAATACAAAAAGAAAATTAGAAAATATTAGAATAAATAAGTAAACAGATTAATACAAAAAGAAAATAGAAAATATTAGAATAAGAAAATATTATTCTATTATGTCACTGCAAATCTCCTATGAAGTTCAACTGTTTCTCTTTGTTCTTTTCCTTTGAATAAAATATTTGGCTTTGCAGTATATGTGCTCTCATAGAAAGTGTTGTCCTTTTGATAAGCATAAATTCATAATGGAGCAAAAAATGAACAGCGTTCATACATTTTTCTCAGTACTTCTTTTCAGGCCAGACAAAATAAGTTTTTTTTTGTGTTTTTTTTTTTGTGTTTTACTACCTGTTTCCTGAGATTGTTGTTTCCTATGATATTTACTAACCAAGCATGCTCATAATAGAGTTGAACTGTATAGAAATCACAATGGGAAATTCCTAATGTCCTGAGATTGTTGTTTCCTTTTTCTGCCTTATTATTTATTTCATATAAAGTTGCAATATACCGATTATTACAATGTGCATATTAAGGTTGATTAATTTTAGATTTAAATTCTTTATTGTAGGTTGATTTCCAGAAGTCAATAAAGATTTAAGATATAATAACATTTGAAATAAATGTGATAAAGCATACATCATAGGTATGTTGCATCTCCTTATATGTGTACCAATAATTACAAATCATTACATAATACAAACTTTTCTCAAATCTGGCTTATACTACATACTACTTACAAATGTGCATGTATTCCACTATCATATTCTGTCCTATACTACATACCACTTCTACAAACCTCCCAGATTCAGCATACTTGAACTGTGATACTCATGGTCACAATGCATGCTATTATTGACTTGATCTCTGATTTTGATACCTGCCCAAGAATCTGAAGATATAAAACTTTGTAGGTTAGAGAAACAATTAGATGAAGACATGAATATCCATGTGGCACATTTGACCATCTCAACACATGGTTGAGCAGTGCAAAGTCTCCATTCCCCGACCTCTGTCTGTTCATACTTGCAAAAGAGGAACCTAATTTACAAAGCATAGTACCTAACTTAAGAAATACTGGTATAGTGTTATTCCAGTGCCACAGGAACCATAGTCCATAAACTCCCATGCAAAAAAAAAAAAAAAAAAAAAAAAAAAAAAAAAAACCAAGTTAAAAGTGTAAATGACACAATTGTCTTGAAAGTAATCCTAGACATTTACGCAAATATCTGGAAAAAATGTTTAATATTTTTTTGGATAAAGATACACTGCAACCAAGAAAGCTTACTTCTCTCCTTTGGTATATATCTGAAATGGTTAGAACATTCATTTGACCTGAGCTAAAATCCTCAACTGCACTGCCATTGCTCATACTTGTCATGGAGACAATGCTACACATTGGGGTCAGCTCTCCTTTAAGCCTACATAGAAATGTGTATGCTATCATCAGTAGGACACTAAAGTATAAGACTCTAGGTACATGCTTTGTATTTTTTATACCATCTGAATTCATGGAATTCTGGAAAATCTTGATTGATATGGATTTGTGTGATGTTGTAGTTGCTGCACAACTTAATATCACCAGTTGATAGGCAAACTATCTAATTTTCAACACAATGAAGGAATTCAGATGAGAAGATTCAAATGAACTTAAGGTACTTCATTTAATATTTTCCACCACTATATTTGCTTCAACTGAAGACTATCGTATTAGCTGTGATATTTGAGCTATTTGACTATACAAATTTTTCTTGAACCTATGAACAAAAGTAGAAACTGTGATACTTAAGCTATTTGAGCCTGCTAAAAATGTGGCCCACTTTTGTCTATGTATGTTGACCTGCAAAAACACTTAAAAATACAGAATATTACTTAAGACAATTATTTGCCCCTATAGAGACAATATCTTGAACAATTAGATAATAACAACAATTACATAAATGATTATATTGACCCTGTATGAAAGAAAAGTTACTGCCAACATAGATAACATACACCTATTACAAAAAACATAGATCTATGACCAAGTGGTTACAGTTTGATTTGTAGGGTTTCTTTACGTATATAACTTCATCTTTTTGAGAATCATCTTCCAGCAGTTTCCCCTAAGACTGAAATCCTTGTCTTAACTAATTAACTTCAAGCTGTTCAGGACAGTAAGTAGACAACAGAGTTGTGCCTGTACTTTTTTATTACCTAAACCATTAAAAAGTGATTAGAAATCCATAATTATTGAGAAAAAAAAGGAATTAAATGTTGTACACTACCCGTAGGCCAAGTCCCCTTACACTGTCAAAAATTCCAGATTCTATACCATAGCAGGAACCAAAAATCACCACACTGCCAATCAAATAGTTAGATAATGAAATATGTTAGAATCCAAAACTGTTAGGACCTTGTGTTTTATTTATTGTAAGAGATTTTTTTTAAAATGAAATAAAAATTTACCTCCCTCCTTTCATAAATATCAGTAATTGTACTGATAATCATTCTCCTAGTTGTATGGTCCCCAAATCTGTCATAACTAAAACTCAAGCTAGACATGGAGGCAATACTACATAAAAGGGTTTGCTAACCACATAAGCTGAATTTAGAATACAGAAATAGAGTTAGTGAAAATAAATATAGCAATAGAATTCATATTAAAGTGTTCTGGAAAGTTTTGGACTGTTAATCAGAGTAACCATCTCCATCCTCTTCAATAATCCATGAAATTATATATTGCATCTTTGTTATATATATGATAAAAATACAAATAAAAATATATGCAGTTGAGTAAGAGAAAGGGAGAGAGACCTGTATTGTATTTTCTTCAATGACGATCATATCATCGTTTCCACTGTCTCTTTGATCAGTCTCAATTTGCTTGGCTGAATCAACTACAGAAGTAAGACAGCCCTTCAATTCGATTAACTTCAACGTTAGAATTTCAGCAAAGTCGGGTGGGATCTCTTCTAATTTCGTACATCGATAAAGGAGTAGGCACTCGAGTTCCGGGAAATTATGACTACCAGCTTTCCATTGCTTGAGATCAATTGAATTAATTCCCAAATAGATTAACTGGTTGAATACCTCCTCCTCCCGTAGTTCCCACTCTTCGCCTACACAGGCAAAGAAGAACAACTTGAGCACCTTGAGCTTAGGCAAACTGCTAAGAATATTAATTCCCTTCCACTCAAAGTTGGTATTCCGAAGGGTTAACTTCTCAAGATTTGACAAAAGAGCAATGTGGTTATTAATAGGAATCATATCCAGACTCATATAATGCTCTTCTTCATAAGCATTAATATTCAGTCGCTCAAGCTGCTCCAAATGGACAAGGTTCTCAATGCAATCATTGCATTTACTTCTATCACCACTAATTCGTACCTTCTTTAAGTTTGGAACACTTCTAAAGAATTCCTCTGTGCAATGGTTGGGCTTCATCCAACAAATACTCTGCAGGTTTTGATGAACAAATTTGGGAGGATTATGTCCACAAATAGAGAAACAACTAAAATACTGCAGTTGTGGAAATTCCAAATAGCTCTTTTTGTCATCCGCACGGATATAAAGTGTTTGAAGATTCCAAGCCCGGGACAACTTTGAAATTTTTAACTGTCCAACTGCAGGAGGTAGGTATCTCAGATGCACGGGATCCACAATCTCCCTACACATGCTTCCACTAGCAAAGTGAAGTACTCTCAATAACTTGAAAACTTTCAAGTTTAGAGTTGTGGTTTCAGAAAGGGGATAGAATGGAAAATAGAAGATAGATCGACAATTTTTCAAGGAAGGATGTATTTACAAGGGTGTTGGGATCTTCGGATTGGATGCTTACCCATCGGGAACCTTCTTGAGAAGAACTGGAACCATGTTCAAGGACGGTATACAAAAGCTTCTCTTTCTCAGCTTCTTGGACACAAAAAGCATGCAATACACCATGCATTGTAAATGCCTTAACCTTTTTCCCACAACAACTTCGCTTGCTTTCTAGAATTAGGCTTCTATCAAGAAGTTCTTGTATGTGCTTGTCAACTAGCACGTCCAAGCTCTCATCACCCTTTAATGCATTCACAAGCCCTTCAGCAGCCCATAACTTTGCTAGATCATTGGTGTTGATTTCATAATCTTCTGAAAAAACTCCCAAATATAGAAATCAAGCTTTTAAGTTGGGAGACAAGTGATTGTAACTGAATGAGAGTATTGTTGAGCATTCGTCATCAATAATTGTTGCAAATGAGTTTAGAGATTCTGCAATATCCTTCCAGTGATCCACTGTGTTGAGTTTGGAAAGTAAACCTGCAACCATAACTATTGCCAAAGGTAATCCATCGCATTTCTCGACAATTTGTTTACCAATCATCTCAAATTTATCATCACCAACTTTGTATGCTTTTTTACGAAACAGCTCCCAACTCTCACTTTGATTTAAGAAGCTCATTTTATGATAAAACGACTCTTTGTTAGAGCAAGTAGAGCTAGCCACCTCTTCAAGATGAGTAGTTATTAATACTCGACTACCACATCCATCATCAGGAAAGCAACTTTGGACATCATTCCATGCCCAATTACTCCAAACATCATCAATCACAACCAAGTACCTGTACGTTATATGAGTAGAGTTATGCGTTAATTATGAGTAGCTAGGTCGATGGGTAAAACTATAAGTTACAGTTAGGTTATTTCTCAACTATTATTGAGTTCAAGTATAATATATTCGATAGATATATTAATTTAATTAACAATATGGCCCTGTTTGGTAAATAGTTAGTCTATCAGTCAATTTTAGTTTATTTGACAACTATTAATTGTTTGGTTAATTAGCTTTTTGTAACTCCAAAATGCTAAAATTCAAAAATCTACTCAAAACATCTTTTTCAATTAGCTTTTTGAGAAAAAAGAAATTATACCAAACAGCTATTAACTAACAATTAATTTACCAAATACCTTTTTACAATCAGCTAATGTTATCAAATAGTTATATCATCTAATTAACTCAATTAGTTAACAACTAACGGCTAACAGACATTTACCGACTGCAGGGCGTAAATATGTAAAGGATGTTCATCGTGAGCCATTTTTATACACAACAGATCAGAGTCCTATCAATAATATATAGATGGATATGATATTACCTTTGCTTCTTCAAACGTTGGTAGAGCTTTGACTCAAGGTCCTCATAGGAGCTTTCTGAATAGCCCGTTGAATTAAGAAGAGCTAGGAGCATTTGTTTCTTATTATGATGTTGAGATGCAACACACCATGTTTGCGTGTCAAAGTGTGATGCAATCTCCCGATCTCTATAAAGTTGTCTAGCTAATGTTGTCTTGCCAATGCCTCCCATGCCTTTAATCAAGACAACTTCTCGATTTGCTGATGAATGTCGGATTAGCATCTCCTTTATAATCTCAAACTCCTTGTCTTTACCGACCATTTTGTTGTCGGAGTCTGATGATGCAGGAGGTTGGGAAGAATCTGCAGCCTTTCTTCCTCGCAGCAGCTTGTCCTCGTTCTTGATTTTCACCCACCCTTCCTTGATACCGTCAATTTCTTCTACTGCTTGTTGCAGAATGCGACGAAGCTTGGAAGAATGACAAGAAGATTCCCTCTGTGCTGTTCCTGCAGAAGTGCAGATTATCCTCAATTTCTTCTACTGTATCATCATCGTAAAGATGTGCAATTTGGAATTCGACTTCATCTTCAACTCTGAAAGCCACATCTCTGAGTTATGTTTCCAACTCTTTTATTGCTTCAACACCATCTATTCTGTTCTCATCAAAGGGTTCCATCAGAAATCTAAGGCTTTGGTGGAGAGATTGGATCAAGTCTTTGTTGAAAGGGATGAGGAGTTCCAATTCTTGTAGGATTGGACGAGGCCGAGGTTGAAAGAACTCAAGCTCTAGTGTCCTCATAAGAGAAAGTACAGCCACACAAGCAACCATTCTTGTCCCTCTCTTGCTCTGATCTGTGCAGGTGTATGTAGGTGGAAAGAAAATGAGTGAGTGAGAAAGTTGTAAGTTTTTTGGAACTAGGTTAGCAGAAGGAAGATGAAGATGAACTGGAATTGGAATTGGTTAATGCCACTAATCTGATGAGCCCAAAACTGTTTCAACGTTGTCAAAAGATTCCAAATATGTCTCTCTCCAATCGTTATGCCATGGAACCTTGGTGGATGGTGAACACGGTCCCAACAGTGTCAGTGCATAGTTATCTTTTTTTTTTTTTTTTTTTTCTTTAATTAATCGCATGACTTTTCTTTTTCATTTTCACATTTCGCGGTTTCACTTTAATTTGAGGTGAGCAATGATTTCGGACATTCATAAATTACGAATCCATGCCTGCACATTCACTTTGGAACCATGCCTACACATTCCCGTCCGAAACCATGACTGCTCCTCTGTAACGCAAGCTTCTTCAACATTCATAAATTTTCTGTTATGAGATTATGAATTTTCTGTTATGAGATTATAAATTTACAGTAAATTCATAATCTCATAACAGAAAATTCATAATTTAATAAATGTTTTTGTTTTATGCGATTATGAATTTTCTGTTATGAGATTATGAATTTACAGTACATTCATAATCTCATAACAGAAAATTCATAATCTGACCAAACGTGCGCCGTTAACACCACATTCGCGAATTTTTTTATTTTTTTTTACGTAAAAACGGCGTCGTTTGAACCCGTGTTCACCATGAATGCTGAACACGTTTCCAGGGCATAATTTACCGTCTCTCTCCAACTAGTTGCATTATTTAATACTAGATAGTATACAATATTTGTAATCTATACTATGTATCTATATCTATACTATCTATCTATACTATATATAAAAACAAAATCCTGAACTTTAACTTCCCGCCCAATTTCTAAAAAATCTCTCTTCATAATAAAATATATTGATTTATACTTTTTCTATTCGTACAATAATTCTGGATTAAAATTCTATTCAAATATTATAAAATTGTGTAATACTATTCCTATTCTAACCCATATCTATACTATATATAAAAACAAAATTCTGTTAACTTCCCACCCAATTCTTAAAAAATCTATCTTCCTAATAAAATATATTGATTTCTATTTTTCCATTCGTACAATAATTCTGGGTTAAAATTATATTCTAATATTATAAAATAGTGTAATACAATTCCAATTCTAATTTATACTATATATAAAAACAAAATCCTGAACTTTAACTTCCGGCCCAATTCCTAAAAAATCTCTCTTCATAATAAAATATATTGATTTCTACTTTTCCATTCTTACAATAATTTTGGGTTAAAATTTTATTCTAATATTATAAAATTGTGTAATGCTAATACATATAATAGATAGTATACAATATTTGTAATATATATAATATTTTAAGCTCATGATTAAACTAATATATATATATATATATATATATATATATATATATATATATATATATATATATATATATAATCACAAAATGCGTCTTAGCTTGTTGAAAATTAAATAAATATTGTAGCTGTTGGAGACTTGGAGAGTCGTTTTAGTGGAGGCCGGCCGGCCATATGTATCTTCGCAAATTATGCTGTGCAACCGAATGCACCTTGCAAGGTGCATACGGTTGCAAAACGGCGCCGTTTTTGGTTAAAAAACGCGCGTCCCACTTAAAGAAGAAATCAGGTTCGATTCCCGGCAATAGCATTTTTATATATCCAAAAATTCATAGCTATATATCCAGAAATTCATAACTATATATCCACAAATTCATAACTATATATCCACAGTGAATGAATGAAGTAAAAATCCACAATGAATGAATGAATGAAGTAAAAACCCACAATGAATGAACTAAATATTCACAATGAATGAACTAAATAACCACAATGATTGAACTAAATATCCACAATGAATGAACTAAATATCCATAAATTCATAACTATATATCCAGAAATTCATAACTATATATCCAGAAATTCATAACTATATATCCATAAATTCATAACTATATATCCACAGTGAATGAATGAACTAAATATCTACAATGAATAAACTAAATATCCACAATGAATGAACTAAATATCCATAAATTCACAACTATATATCCACAAATTTATAACTATATATCCACAAATTCATAACTATATATCCACAATAATGCTATTCCCGAGAATCGAACCTGATTTTTTTTTTTTTTTTAAAGTGGGACGTGCGTTTTTAGTCAAAACGACGTCGATTTGCATCGTATGCACCATGCGCATGGTACATTCGGTTGCACAGCATAACTATTGATGTATCTTTCATTAAAGTATTCACATTATGAAACATAAAGGGATAAGGGTTAAATAGGCCACTGAACTGCACACCAAAGTGCAATTAGGCCATCGAACTAAAAAACAATGCAATTGGGTCTCTGAACAATCCAAAATCATTCAATTAGGTCTAAAATGACATGTTTACCTGAAATGCCGGTTACTAATTTTAAAAATAATTTTTAAATAAAATAATTAATTAAAATTATAATTATAATTAAAAAAAAAAAACTAGACCTGCTGGAGACGAATCGTCTCCGGAAGTCTTCGTTTCCATGGCCAGGAGACGAAGGTTCGTCTCCCTGGCCCTTCGTCTCCATGGCCGGAGACCATCCCTTCGTCTCCGGCCATGGAGACGAAGACTGACGGAGACGATTAGTCTCCGACAGTTTTAGTTTTAGTTTTTTTTTTAATTAATTAATTTATTTAAAATTATATTTAAATTTATTTTTAAAATTGGTATCCGCCACGTCAACACAATTTTAGGTCAACATGTCATTTTAGACCTAATTGCATGATTTTGTGTTGTTCAGGGATCCAATTGCATTGTTTTTGAGTTTGATGGCCTAATTGCATTTTGGTGTGCAGTTCAGTGGCCTATTTTACCCTTATTCCAAAAATAAACACATACTCCATATTATCCTTCCAAAAGACTGAACCCCAACCCTAAGAGCACCCCATACCCCGACCCGACAGAACATTTGACAGGATGTAAATCATGGTAACTCAACTAAACATGAACCACAGAGGCTATGTAAGTGACTTAATCATGTCGAATTCGGATAATTGGAATATTGAGCTTTTGAATATGCTGTTTGAGCCGAGGGACGTGAATTTGATCCTGCAGGTTCCGATCTCACAAAGTTATGAGGATGTCTGGAGCTGGAGAGGGGACATTCGCGGCTGCTATTCAGCGAAGCATGGGTATCGCCTTCTGTCTGGTTCCCCATCTACCCAAGGATTGGCTAATGTTGGCTTTTGGCGAAAGCTATAGGCATTGAAGATTCCACCCAACATATTAAATTTTATTTGGCGATGCATGCATGGGGTCGTGCCTACGATGGTTACCCTACATTCACGGAGCGTAACACTGGATGTTAATTACCCGCTGTGTCATCATGTTCCAGAGACACTCCAACATCTTTTGTGTGAGTGTGTTTGTGTTGCTGCGGTTTGGTCTGATCTTACTGGATTCTCTCTTGTTGATGCGGCAAATAATTTTGCATCTTGGTTGGCAGGGATGGTTATGGATGGGAATATCACTACCCTGCTGCAAGTTTTGGCAAGGTGTTGGTGTATCTGGAGGAGGCGCAACGAGGTGGAGTGGAATGCTAAACCATGGAACTCATTGTCTGTGAAAATGGAAGCTGTTCATTTATCTTCTGAGTGGCAGGTACTGACGATTCCAAATAATGCAGTTCAAACCAATCATTCTCCTGAAACTTTGCAACCAAGTGTTCCACAAGGTGTCCTGCGAATATTTGTGGGTACAACAATTTTTAACGACTCTGACCATGGCTATTTTGGTGTGGTTATTCTAGATTGCAATGGAGGTTTTATTGGTGCAAAAAATGGAAGCCTACGGTGTTTGAAAGATGCTCATATTGCTGAGGCTATGGCTGTGAAGGAAGCCCTATCTTGGGCTAAGGATAGACGTTTTACAAGAATTATGGTGTGTTCAGATTGTCAAATGGTTTGCAGGGCTATTAATCAACCGCAAGTGGATTTATCTTATGCAGGCAAGGACGGAGCCAGAGGGGGGGGGGGCAAGGGGGCGGCTGCCCCCCCTCACCCCACCCCCACCCCATATATAGTCTTTGTATGTATATATGTATATATAGTACATGTTTTAGTATTAGTATTAAAAACTATAAAATATTAACAAAAAGTGAGTTAGATTAGGTGGTGGAGCACATCTTTACTAATAATAATGAGGTTTAAGGGTTCCAATTTTAGCATCAACATAGTTTTACAATTCTTTTTCAATAGCTTTTTTAATATCTCACACACACTCTACAATAAGATTTGTAATTTATAATGTGTTTTCTATTCAAATTATTTTATTAATTATGATTAGGGGTGTTAGCGAACAGAGCTTTCGGCAAACTACTCGTGTTCGTGTTCGGTAAGCGTTCGTTTATGTTCGTTTGTTAAGGTAAACGAACATTAACAAACAAAATTTAGAGCTCGGTTAATAAACGAACAGAGCTTGAACAGTTGTAAGCTCGTTTGCTAAGAGATCGTGAACAAGCTCGTTTGTGTTCGTTTACTAATGTTCGTGAACAAGCTCGTTTATATTCGTTTAATAATGTTCGTGAACAAGCTCGTTTGTGTTCGTTTAATAATGTTCGCGAACATGTTCACAAACATATATTATATTATATTATAATAGTTTTGTAGTTGTGTTGTTTGTTTGATTATTGTTCGTGAACGTATATTATTTATTGTTCACGAACGAATTATGATCATGAACATGTGCAGGTGTTTGTTTATTAAGTATTCATGAACGTAAATGAATATGTTCGTGAACGTGCTTGTTAATGAACATGTTTGTGAACGTGTTTGTTAACGTTAACGAACACGTTTGCGAACGTGTTCACGAACGTTAACAAACACGTTCGCGAACATGTTCGTTAACGTTAACAAACACGTTCGTGAACATGTTCGCGAACGTTAACAAACACTAACGAACGCTTAACAAACGAACACGAACAGGATTTTCAAAAATCTTAACAAACGAACACGAACACAAACACTCCAAATTCCTTAACAAACGAACACGAACAAGCTCCGTTCGTTTATGTTCGGTTCGTTAACAGCCCTAATTATGATTACACACTCTACAATAAGATTTGTAATTTATAATGTGTTTTCTATTCAAATTATTTTATTAATTATGTTTCATATTTTGTTATGAATATTTTTATAAAGTTTCGATGTGTTTTATTTTCCGTCCATATCGAACAATATTTACAATTATATTTCTTAGGTAGTTTATTTATTTATTTACTCTACAATAAGATTTGTAATTTATAATGTGTTTTCTATTCAAATTATTTTATTAATTATGTTTCATATTTTGTTATGAATATTTTTATAAAGTTTCGATGTGTTTTATTTTCCGTCCATATCGAACAATATTTACAATTATATTTCTTAGGTAGTTTATTTATTTATTTTTAAATTATCTCTTTTGTTTTAATGTTTCGCCTTTATTGGAAAAATTTTCTGAATCCGTCTGTACTGTTTCGCCCCCCCCCCCCCCCCCTCAACCGAATTTCTGGCTCCGTCCCTGTATGCAGGTTGTGTGATTAATGATATAAGAGCTTATAAAAGACACTTTGAAATAGTATCTTTCAATTTTATTCTTAGATCAGCGAATAAGGCCGCCCATGCTTTAACTCGGACTGCACATTCGCAGATTGATCTCTCTACTTGGATTTCTTAAATTCCTATTTGTATTCAAAACTTGATTTAATAAAATATCGTCATTTTGGTTTTCAAAAAGCAATGTAATATTTCAAAGTTTTAAATGAATGAAGCCATAAAAAGAAAAGTCTATGAACGCTTTAATTTATGCTTCCGAGTATTAAATTAAAACATAATATAATATTATTATATATGAAGTTTCATTAATTAATAAGCTGCAGCTTTAGCGTCTTCTTTGCTCTAGCTCTCCTCTGCATCATCTTCATCAGAACTAAGTTGCCATGAATGAATGAAAACAAATTAGGATATAATGAAACTATATAATGAAGTTATGTTTAGAGAAAAATTAAAGGAGTTGAGCTGAGAGTGAAAGAGAAATGGATAGAGATCAAAAGACCTGCAGTATTGTTTCCTTCTCAATCACAACCATATCTTTGTTTCCACATTCAATCTATTGGAAAAATAGCATTAAAATGGCATTTTAAGTGGCTATTTTGTTGTACAATTATCAGTGGGGTCCACTTTCGAAATGGGTCGGGTCAAAGTGGATTCGGATTCTTCGTAGTGAGACGAAGAGATTGATATATCGTACGCTTAAAACGGATAATGGGTGAATGAGATATTGATTCTCAAAGTAGACTCATTTGAGTTGGAAAACGAAGGGAAAAAGTGAGCTTTTGTCCCACTTGATTTGGAAAGAGGATTTGCCCCCCTTTATACAAGAGCTCTTTTGGAGCTTGTAGAAATGTATAGCATAGAGGCTCTCTCGCGCGGGGAGGTGGGGTGCAAATCAAATTCCTACTAATCTTGTGTGTGCAGACACGAATGTTGTCCGAAAATTGGCTGGCCCTGCGCTTTCGGTATCATATTTTCCAACACACTAGCCACTTGGTTGAGCTCGGTCCAGGCCGAACTGCTGAACTAAGCATTGTTTCGGCCCACAAAAGTGGAAATTAATTCCAATTTTAATTTTGAATTTAAAAGGCTTGCTGTTTTAGATGTTACATAGGCAAATTTTAATGGCCATGATCAATGCTATTAAGTACTCCTCCTCTATATAAGAAGGGGTAGAGGGCAGAAGCTTTTTACAACAAGCACAAGAGCTCACACACGAAATTATGTTTTCAAGCTTCAAAATACTTCTGCTTCTACTCCTTTCTTAAGCCTAACTGTGTTCAAGGCTTTGCTCTAGTTCACCGGGTTCGTTTGTTTGGGTGCTCAAACGTCAAACCATAGCTCGTTTTATCCTAGGAAACCTAGGCCACAGCGCTCCTAGCACTTTTGGGAGGTGGCAAATAAGGTTTTAAGGAAAGAGTGGTCTCTTGACTCGCGCTAAAAACCCTATACTCATACACGAGCCATCTTTTCCTTCTTTCGGTTTTGGATTATGCTTCTAAGCAAAATCCTCTCTTTATTTGATATTGTCGTTGGATTTGAATTATAATATGAGGATTATAAGTTCCAATTTTTGGTTGATATATATTGGTATATCTTTTCGTAGATATATATGCATATATAACTTTTGGGTCCGTTTTATATATATTTGTGTGTATATATATATATATTTCAGACATATATATCCAATAATATTTTTTATATTTTCGTGTGTATATATAAATATTATTTTGGGATATTAAATCGATTTTGGTTCATTATCTCCGACACAATCTGCATACTTTGGATTTCCTTGGCTGAATTCACCGCAGAAGGAAGGCATCCTGTTAATTCGATTGACTTCCATCTCAAAGAATCTTCAAAGCTGTCTGGGATCTCTCTCAACTCACAGCAATTGCGAAGGAGTAGGCGCTCAAGACACGGGAATTGGTCATAACTAGCTTTCCAATGCTTGAGATCAGATGAAAATATTTCAAAATAAATTAAGCTAGGGAATACATCCTTTTCTGATAATTCCCAGGACACTCCTTGCCTATGCCGGAAAACATTAATAACCTGAGCACTTCTAGCCTAAGCAACTGGCAAAGAACATTAATTCCGATCCTTCCCACTCAAAATTCATACACTTAAATGACAACTCCACAATGCCTTTCAAGCAACCAATTTGGTTATTCATTGAAATCATTTTAGGAGTGGTAGAATCCGATACACTGCCATTAATATACAGTCCCCTAAGCTGCGGTAAATAGACAAGGGTGTCAATGCACTCATTGCAATTTCTTCTTTCACCTGTAACTATCACCTCCTTAAGGTACTTATTTTTTAGAAAGAAATATATTGTGCAATCACAAGGCTTCAACAACAGTTTGGAAGGACTTTGCTGTCGAAACATCTTCAAGTTGTTCCTTCCATCATCAAGTGTTTGAAGATTCCAAGCCTTTAATAGTTTTAAGATTCTAAAATCTCTAACTACCTGAGGTAAGTATCTCAAATGGACGAGATCCACAATCTTCTTGCACATGTGTAACAGCCTTGGAAGGAAGAAAGAAGGAGAAGAAACGAGTGAGGATGGAGCAAAGGGAAAAGCAGAAATTGGAAGAGAAATCTGTAACCAGGGAAAGGGAAAACTCATCAAACGACGTCGCAGGACAACCAGCGGTTGGAGGTGGTTAGCTTGCAATCCAACGACGTCGTTTCACGTGTGGGCGGTTGGCTGTTACAACAAGCAATCCGACGACGACGCTTTGAGGCTAGCTGTTATTTGTCTCTTTATGTAACTACTTTTGTTTGTTTCCTCCATCATGGAGTGGTAGTCTTAGAGTGTGGATAGAATATAAACACTGAAGAGTAGCTGAGGGATGTTATGTTGATTTTAGCAATTAAAGTTTTCTTTTCCTTTCCCCTCTTTCTTTCCTTCCCTAACCCTAATAAGTCTCTCTGCTTCTCCTTCTCACCTTCTTTTGCAGTCCTTGTGTTTGGAGGGTCATCACTTCTGGTATCAGTGCTCGTGATCATGGAAGAATGGAGGAAAACCATGGAGGCACAGTTGGCAGAACTAAAGGGCTATGTGGAAGCTCAATCCCAGGCCTCATCCGATCAGCTCAATATGTAGTTCACTGGATTCCGGGAGGAGATTCTGAACCTTTTACGGTTGAACTGCCCGGCACCACCAGTGATGGAGAGGACACCGGGTCAGTCCTCAGTGCGTGGCCATGCTCCGGAGTATGCTCCCCAGCACGCTTCTCCGTGAGAAGCCAGCGCAGATCCCGGCAGAAGGGCTGACAAGGCCCCAATGGATCCAGCTCAGGAGGAAGATCCAGTTGAGGTTCCTGAAAGAGAGTGGGCTCCAAGGAGACCAGGACCGGAGGGGAACCTTCATCAACAAGCAGACTTCTATCCAAGGTATAAAGCTGACTTCCCTGCGTTTGATTATGAGCACCCCAGGAATTGGATTGTTCGGTGTGAGAGGTTCTTTATGTTCTCCCATACCCCTAGGAATGAAGTTATGAACTTGTTGTTTGTTAATCTCTCTGGAAAGGTGGGGTTATGGTACGAGGGGTATGTGAGTGAGCTTAGACAGGGGTTTCAATGGCACCATTTTGCAGAAGCTGTCTGCAAAAGGTTTGAGAACAAGGGGGAATCATTGATGGAGGAGTTTGCAAGTTTGAAACAATGGGGAACTGTGGAGGATTTCACAGAAAAATATGAGGAATTCAAGAGCCAACTGTTGGTAGGTCATCCTTACTTAACTGAGGGGTACTTTATGGAGAATTTTGTAGCTAGACTTAAACCAAATCTCAGGTGTTTTGTGCGAACTGCTAAGCCCACAACACTGAGTGATGCCATATGGTATGCTGGACAGTTTGAGAGGGGATTGAAAACCAGTGAACCTAACAGGTCAATTCCTTGGAACTCTAGACAAACTCCACCCACAAAAACTCACCCCACTGAACCTTTAAACCCTCCCCACAACAAAAAACCAGCCCTATCATCCCAATATGCAAACTCACCTTCCCCAGAATTGACCAGGTTCAAGGCACAATTGAGGGAGCAGAGGAGGTGTTTCAAATGTTTTGAGAGTTGGAAGCCAGGGCACAAATGCAAGGGTCCTACCTTCCACTTGATAGAGGAAGATGAAGGGTATGACCAGGATTATGTGGAGCAGGCAGAACCAGAAACAAACAAGGAAGAGGCTGAGGTCTCTCTGTGTGCCATGGTAGTGGGAGAGGGTATGCACACCATCAAGCTGCTAGGCTTTGTACAGAGACAGAAAATACTTATATTGGTGGATAGTGGTAGTACCCACAGCTTCTTAGATCCAAAGTTGCTCAGCCAACTAAGGAAGGATCCTGTGAAAGCATCCCCATTAACAGTAACTATAGCTAATGGAGAACAAGTGAGGAGTGATTCAGTGTGCTTGGGACTGAATTGGGAAGTGCAAGGGGAGGAATTTACTAAGGATTTCAGATTGTTGAATTTAAGGGGCTGTGACATGGTGCTTGGGATGGATTGGATAGACCTATATGCCCTTATTCAGTTACACACTAGACCCCCCAGCCTCTCATTTCACAAAGATGAGAGGAAAATCATCTTGAAGGGTTTGACTAAGGCTATTATGCTAAAGGCAGCCTCTGGAAAGCAGATTAGGAGATGGCATCAGAAGGGGATTAGAGGATTTCTAGTTCAGCCCAACATTGTTCCACATGACACACCCCCAACCCATACAATTTTCCACCATTATGAGCCCCACCTTTTTCTAACCTTACCCCACACACCCTTCCTAGAACTTACACTTCTTTTGCAGGAGTTCCAAGATGTGTTTGCTGAGCCCACAGACCTTCCACCTCCCAGAGTTCTTGATCACTCTATTCCCCTAGTTCCAGGAGCTAAACCTGTTAATATGGGACCCTACAGATATTCATATGATCAGAAAAATGCAATAGAGAAAATGGTGAATGAAATGTTAGAAGCTGGAGTGATTACCCCCAGCACATCAAGTTTTGCCTCACCTGTCCTCTTAGTGCCAAAGAAGGACAATAACTGGAGATTTTGCATAGATTACAGAGCCCTCAACAACATAACCATAAAAAATAAGTTCCCCATACCCTTAGTGGAGGACTTATTCTCTGAGTTGGCTGGGGTAGGTTGCTTTTCTAAACTGGATTTGAGGTCAAGGTACCATCAGGTCAGGATGAAGGAATGAGAAGAGTATAAAACAGCCTTCAAAACCCACAATGGGCTATATAAATTCAGGGTGATGCCCTTTGGCCTTACAAATGCCCCAGCAACCTTCCAAGCCCTAATGAACCACATATTCAAACCTTGGCTAAGGAAATCAGTGTTGGTTTTCTTTGATGACATATTGGTCTACAACACCACTTGGAAAGAACATTGGCAGCATTTAAGAGAAGTCTTGCAGGTTATGAAGTCCCACAAGTTGCTGGCCAAGTTAAGTGAGTGCTCTTTTGCCCAGGAGCAAGTGGAATACCTAGGACATATTATTTCTAGGGAAGGATTGAAGACTGATCCTTCAAAACTGGAAGCAATTTCTGCCTGTCCTAAACCCCTAATTGTTAAAGCCCTAAGGGGATTTTTGGGACTAGCTGGTTATTACAGGAGGTTCATAAGATCCTATGGGGTTATCAGTAAGCCACTATCTAACCTCCTCAAGAAAAATGCATTTGTTTGGAGCAGTGAGGCTGAGGAAGCATTTGAGATACTGAAAAAAGCCTTGTGTAGTGCCCCAGTTTTGGCACTCCCCAACTTCCACAAAGAATTCATAGTAGAAGCAAATGCCAGTTTCAAGGGAATGGGAGCTGTGTTACTCCAAGAAGGGAGGCCAATTGCCTTCTTTAGCAAAGCATTTGGTGAGAAACATCTAGGCATGTCTATCTATGAAAAAGAATACTTGTCCATCATAAATGCTATTGAAAGATGGAGACCCTATCTGTTAGGAAGGCATTTCACCATCATGACTGATCACCATAGCCTGAAGTATCTCTTGGAGCAAAAAATCACTACTGCTGTCCAACAGAGAAGGTTAACCAAATTGCTGGGCTTAGACTACTCTATCAAGTATAAGAAAGGGACTGAAAACTGTGTAGCTGATGCACTATCTAGGCAGATGGAGGAAACTGGGGTTGAATTGAGTGCCATCTCAGCAGTACAACCACAATGGATTACAGAGGTGTTGGAAAGCTATAAGGATGATACTTGGGCTAATGAAACACTGACCTCCTGCCTCATTGACCCCACTGCAGTGACAGAAATGACTGTGGTTGGAGGAATATTGAGATATAAATAGAGAATCTATGTAGGGTCAAATGGAGACCTCAGAAAAAAGGTTGATGTTGCAATTACATAAGTCAGCCCTAGGAGGGCACTCTGGCCAACAAGGGACCTATCAGAGGATGAAGCAGAGTTTCTGGTGGAAAGGAATGAAAAGGGATGTTTCCAATCTGGTAAGGAACTGTGAAGTGTGCCAAAGGTGTAAGGCTGAGAATGTAGCTAATCCTGGACTGCTACAACCCTTGGCCATACCAGAGGAAGCCTGGAATAGCATCTATATGGACTTCATAGAAGGGCTTCCTAAATCTCACAACAAGGAAGTCATTTTTGTGGTGGTGGATAGGCTGACTAAGTATAGCCACTTTCTAGCTATAACTCATCCTTATACTGCTGAAAGTGTAGCTGAAACTTTCATGGAAAATGTATACAAACTGCATGGGCTCCCTAAAGATATTGTGTCAGATAGGGATAAGGTCTTTACTAGTACTTTTTGGCAGACCATATTCAGGAGAATGGGGGTCACACTGAGTCTGTCCACAGCATACCATTCACAAACATATGGTCAAACTGAGAGAGTAAATAAGTGTTTGGAAACATACCTCAGGTGCATGGTGTTCCAGAAGCCTAAGAGTTGGGCTAAGTGGCTTTATCTTGCTGAATATTGGTACAATACCAATCACCACACCTCCCTAAAATGCACTCCCTTTCAAGCCTTGTATGGGTATGCACCTCCTATGTTGGCCATTGGAGTTACTGCTGGAAATGGGGGGCACCCTTGGATAGCTGAGAGGAGTGCTCTCTTGTCTACCTTAAAGGAAAACCTCAGACAAGCACAACACAGGATGAAACAACAAGCAGATAAGGGCAGGAGTGAGAGAACCTTAGAAGAAGGAGATTGGGTCTACTTGAAAATCCAGCCATATAGACAAGTGTCCCTGGCAGTGAGGAACAACTTGAAACTCTCATCCAGATACTATTGGCCTTACCAAGTGGTTAAAAGAGTGGGTGAAGTTGCTTACAAACTACAGTTGCCTCCTGGAACCCTACTACATCTAGTCTTCCACATTTCCCAATTGAAGAAGAGGGTTGGAGAAGGAAGCCTGCCCCAATATGACCCCCCAACAGTTGGCCCAGAGGGAGAAGTTCGAGCTGAACCAGTGGCAACTCTGGACAAGAGGATAGTGAAAAGAGGTAACCAAGCCGTATCTCAAATTTTGGTGCAATGGTCTAATCTGCCCAAGGAGCAAGCTACATGGGAAGACTATCACCATGTAACTAGCCAATTTCCATTATTTGATCCTTGGGGTCAAGGATCTTTGGAAGGAGGGGGTAATGTAACAGCCTTGGAAGGAAGAAAGAAGGAGAAGAAACGAGTGAGGATGGAGCAAAGGGAAAAGCAGAAATTGGAAGAGAAATCCGTAACCAGGGAAAGGGAAAACTCATCAAACGACGTCGCAGGATAACCAGCGGTTGGAGGTGGTTAGCTTGCGATCCAACGACGTCGTTTCACGTGTGGGCGGTTGGCTGTTACAACAAGCAATCTGACGATGACGTTTTGAGGCTAGCTGTTATTTGTCTCTTTATGTAACTACTTTTGTTTGTTTCCTCCATCATGGAGTGGTAGTCTTAGAGTGTGGATAGAATATAAACACTGAAAAGTAGCTGAGGGATGTTATGTTGATTCTAGCAATTAAAGTTTTCTTTTCCTTTCCCCTCTTTCTCTCCTTCCCTAACCCTAAATCTCCCTGCTTCTCCTTCTCACCTTCTTTTGCAGTCCTTGTGTTTGGAGGGTCATCACAACATGCTAGCATCACTAAAGTAGAATACTCTCAATAGATTGAATCTTTTCAAATGTAAAGATTTCGCTTCCGCCTCCAAAAAAATAGAAAATGGACCGACACAATGTAGAAGAATGTAATATTATTGTACGAGTGTCGTCATCATCAAAATCTGTTGATTGGATGCTTAGCCAACGGAAACCTTTTACACAGAAATTGAAACCATTTCCACCTACCACATGTAGAAGATTCTCTTTATGAGCTTGGTTTACACAAAATGCATGCTGTAAACCATGCATCTCAAAGGCCTTAATTTTTCTTCCACAATAACTTTGCTTGCTTTCAAAAATCAGGTTTTTATCCAAAAGTTCCCGTACGCATCTTTCACCCACTTCATCAAGGCTCTGGTTCTCAAACTCCTTTATAAGTCCTTCACTGGCCCATAACTTTACAAGATCCTTAACATAGATCACTTTCCCTTCTGGAAATACCCTCAAATATAAAAAACAAGCTTGAAAGTTATATGACAAGTTATTGCAACTTGATGAGAATATTCTTGACCGTGCTTCACTGCTTCGGCAAGAGTTGTCATAGCTGATAAATTAGCAATATTCTCCAACTCACTTAATGTGTTGAGTTTTGAAAATAGGCTTGCTACCATAACAATTGCCAAAGCTACTCCATCGCATTTCTCAACAATTGGCCTGGTTTCCCAATAGTCTCAAATTCAAATTCAAATTCAGTACTGCCAGCCTTTATACAAAATAGATTCCAACTCTCGCTTTCATTTAACGGGTGCATTTGCATTTTATAAAACACGTACTTTCTGTATCTACTATTATAAATCATATTCTTCTTAAGGCGAGTAGTTAATAATATTCGACTACCATTTTCATCATCAGGTGCACAACCTATGATAGCATCGCATTCCTCCATGCTCCACACATCATCAATCCCGAGTAAATACCTATTATTACGTACAGTATGTGTGTAAATAGATAAGATAATGACTACTTATAGTTAGTCTAATATTGTAGAGTTTGTATATTAGTATTCAACTAGTAATTCACTCGCGCGATGCACGGGAAAAAATTATGTTATTATAAATATAAATAAAAAATTAAAAAATTAAAAAATTTTAAATTGTTTAATATAATAATATTTTGGAGCTTCTATTGGTCAAGTATTTATTATTTTTATAGAATAAAAAATTACAAATAAAATTAAAATTTTGTATGGTTAATATAATCTATAGTTATGTGCATATCCAAATAAACTTATAGAGAGAATTTACATTTTTTTTTGAATGCTACTAGCTCTATAGAGAGAATTTACATTTTTTTTTTGAATGCTACTAGCTCTATTACAATGTAGTATCTGTTCATATACTTTCTCAACCTACTGAAACACAAAGAGCCAATAACGCCTTCACTGATGGTATAGAGAGAATTTACATAATTACATTGATTTATTCTTAATTGTATTTCATCTATATTATAATTTTCACAATACGAATAATAACTAAGATATTACATTTGGAAAGCAAATTTCAAATTTTGTATGAGTAAATTTAAACTCTAATTGAACACATTTTTTATATGATTATATACTTTATAGCTATTTTATTTTACAAAAGTACATTTCTTATATGATTATATAATATATAGCTATTTTATTTTTCAAATGTTGTGTTTTTTTTTATTTTTTTATTTTTTATAATAAAGGATGTTGTGCCATTAATTGTAATATAAATTACTTCCCAAACCATATAACTTTATTATAGTTAAGATACGGAGTATTATTATTTAACCTATACAAAAGAATCTTATTACTTTGTACGTCTATTTCTATCACTTGGGCGGAGGCCCGTAAAAAAGGCCAAGTCTAGCACTTGGTGACTATCTAGGAGATCATTAGGCGGAAGCCAGTAATGGCCTAAGGCCAAGTCCAACGTAACACCTAATGTCTCGAACAATGTGATGACGATCTATAAGGAAATAAAGTTACGTCTTTGCTAGCTATAATTTTGGTGTGAGTGGTAAGTGAGTCCTATGATGCGTAGTATATTTGCAAACAAATAATTCTTGGAGTACGAGTTATCGATCTACAGGGAAGTGATTGTATCAAGCACTAGTTA